TGAACAAAAACCTCAAAGTTTCTTTTAATTCTAAGTCTTCTGTTATCACACCTGCCCTCCCACGCCCCCCACAAGATTTGGTCTTGTCCACAGAGAGATGAGAAGAAGCCACTCACTTATCCATGCAAGGTGAACTTGGAACTCTTCTTATTTATAATAAGGACTCCAATTTCTTAAGAAACTGAATGTGGAGATATGTGGATGTGTTGTCAATGGGTAAGCAAAGACTATATTCACTTTTGACACTTTTTTTTTTTTAGTGTTTATTTATTTTTGAGACAAAGACAGAGCATGAACAGGGGAGGGGCAGAGAGAGAGGGAGGCACATAATCTGAAACAGGCTCCAGGCTCTGAGCTGTCAGCACAGAGCTCGACATGGGGCTCGAACCCACCATCTGTGAGATCATGACCTGAGCCGAAGTTGGACGCCCAACCAACTGAGCCACTCAAGGCGCCCCTCACTTTCTACACTTCTTAAGGGAATAGGTTTCTTTTCTCAATGTAGTGGACTATGTGGGGCTACATCTGTTGGGATTTATGGCTCATATATCCACTTCTAAATAGGTATTTTTCTCAACTTTGCATCCTTGACTTCGTACAGTCATCTTCATAATGGCTCTTAAACTTTATAAGGTACATAAACTTGATTGTATCATCATCTTAAATCCCTAGCAGTACTGATTTTTATCTGAGGATTATTTTGAAATCTTGGATAGCCCTCTAAGGGCTGGATCCAGGTGTCCAAAGAATTCCAGTGTTTGAGTGATAAAGCTCCATCTAATGGAAGCTCAATCCAGAGTCAGAATCCCTTCTTTACTCTGGGTTTCAGTTACCTCCACCACCCAGACATCAAAAAATATCCCTCTTTGTTCATGCTACTTTAGCCCGTGTGACTTCTCTCTTTGCCCCTCAGATTTATTACATGTATCTATTTGGCTTCTTGTGGTTTTTCTTCTCCCATTCCTCACTTCTCTGCACAGTGTCAGATTCTGCAGCCCAAAAGGATTGGATTGCACAAGGTGGGATGTTTGGTGGGGGGAAGCTGAAGGGTCAAAGAACATGATCTGTGACGGATAGGATTTGCATGTGTCCAAGATTCTAGGAGCATCTGAACATTATAAATCCTAGAATTTACTGCATTATCAAGATTGAAGTGGGAACCCAACAGTGTCTTTTAAATAGTAATATCAGAAATATCTGTTTCTGTTCTTCAGTTATATTTTCTTCCAAATGATCATCTTTGACTTTAGGGAATATTGTGAGAAATTATATCTTACCTCTCAGTTCAGACGTATATACTCTTGTTCAAGTAAATAACATGTTTACTTGCTATCAAAATACAAACATTAGGATGATTGCTTTATTTACTACATTAAGTTTTATTTTCCAGTTAGATCAAGCAAATCATGTGAATAAACTTGAAAAAACATTTAAAATGTCCATATTTTCTTTTTAAAATGGAAGTACTGTTGGTTAATGAGAACTAGAATGAATTAAAGTCTATATTCATCAAATATTAAATGAAATAGAAAGTTGTGATATTGATGGATCTGGGAGGACTTTGACAAATTGTCTACATTGCTAACCCAAACCTCGCAATATTTAGCTCATACAACACTGAGCTCACACACACAATTTCTTCTCACACCTAATATAAAAGTCTGGAACAACTTTGTGGTTTTAAATATTAATGGTCTGTAAATATCAAGCAACTTACATGTGAAAAATGCACCATATCACCAGCATTAGATCACATCAAGTTTGTCTTTTAATCTAGTGTTTTAGTCCTTAAAACCAGCATTTCAATATAGAAGATTTTTATGAGGCTGCACAAATTTCCTTGTATTGGCCAAGATCGGTCCTGGGTAATATTTCAGTCAACCTCTCTACAAATGTCTCATGGGTAAATAGTATTCAGTGTTCATATATTCTCCTTCTTCCCATCTTACCCTGCGGTTACTTCATCATCTTGAGCCACAAGCCCTTTCTCCCATGGAAATCAAACCATTCCCAGGCAGTAACACTGCTTATTGGTCTGCAGAATGAATTGCAGACAAAGGTTTTTCTAATGCCCTTCTTTTTACATCTTAGCAAGTACAACATACAGTTATTTTCCACTTTTGCTTGACATCTTCTAGGCAAACACGTTCTAAACAGGCAGGTTTACATAGTGAAGTCAGAGTGAACAGCCAAAGAGGCTGGCTGTAAAACCATCCTTCCTATTGAACAATTATTTCTAAGTATTCTTTCCTTTTGCTCATGATGACTTTATTAGGTGGCTGCTATTTAATCCCTACTCCCAAATGAAGAAAAATGATGCTCCAAGGGATGATGTCTCTGGCCCAATGTAATGAAATAATAAGTGAAGGAGATTGGAAAACTTCACTGTAATTATAATCTTGCTCCATATCACAGGCTGAACTCATGTATTAACTTGATTCATGAACTTGTCCTAGTCCCTTAACTTTCTAATTTTCCAGTTACTGATTTGTTAAGTAAAGATAACAATATCTTTCCTTCTCACTTCACACAGGATCAAACTGACTCCAAAATGATGATATGTAAACATTCATCAAATGTAAAATGTTTATACATGTGATTCCTTAGGCATCTCTTCACCATTCTCTCTACTCTCTCCTCACTTTTGCCTTTATCTACAGAACACACAATTTTTATTTATATCCTAAACAGAGAGAGAAATATGATTTCTTACACCTATCAAGGAAAGGAAGTCTTACATTTTGAATTTGAAATCATAGGAAATAATCTCTAGGGCCCTTAAAATTACCAAGAAATCTCAGAGTCCTCAGAAGGCTTTCAATTCTTTCTAAATTAAAAATAATTTTATACCAAACACCAGAAACAGGTGCTTTCATTTGAAAATTTGGAAATAACCTGAATTATTTTATTGAATAATTGTTAATCTTCCATTGGACCTGGGGCTAGACATATAATTATTAATAAGTCTATGATATTAACATGTTTGCCATCTAATGGAGAAATGCACATACATACAGACACGATTACAAGTTAATAAAATCAATGCTAAAATTGAGTGCTGTGTTTACCAATGAAATAGATTCATTTAGTTCACAGTATTCAGTATGGAATTTGGAAAGAATGGGGAGAGAAAATGGGAGGTGAAGATTCAGGTGATGGGAGGAAGAATGGGGAATATATTCTTTTTAAAGGTGACTTGTGATTTGTTCAAAGTAACATGGCAAAAAAATTTCAATGAATGAATAAGTAATTGAATGTTCTATGTTGATCAAGTTAAATAATAAATTTCATTGTCTTAAAAATCTGTTGTGATTGGGATTTTAAGTCATTGGAAAACAAGACAATTTACCATATCTACGGATTCATAAGTTTCAAGCAAGCCCTAAAATGAGGACCTCCTCCCTTTACAGGGATATTTGAAGAAAAATTTTAACATTCGTGATCCTGACAATGTTGCTGTTGAGTTCAAATTTGGCTATTTCTCAAGCCTAAGATGTCTCTGTTAGCTTTTCTGGGACTGGCGCAGCTTCAGAGTGCGGATACACGTGGGGCAGATAGTGACTTCAACACCCAGTTTAATAAACCAGTTTTAAGAATTGACAAGTGTTCAGTTTGACCTTGAAGTTTCTGAATGCAGGCCAGGTTGGACAAAGAAGACAAGTCCATGTAAACTCACTCATTCATCCACTTACTCATTATTCTTTCACCTGAAATGAATCAAACCCTTTAAGAGAATAGCAGTATTGCTCAATTTTTAGTTTTATTTCATGTCAGTATATACCTTCATCATAGTGGACATTTTCACATTAGGAACACGCAGCTGTGTATAGTCCATAGGGACGAGATTGGTAGGTACAATGATCCTCTTTTCCTTTTTCCTGCTGTTTGTATTTTTGAAGAGAATTCATTATTATTTGAGGTTTTTGCCTTTCCCTCAAATACTACAGGTGAGAGCATGTGATCTAGTCCCCGCCAGTCACAGTATGTCATTTTCCTCTGGCCATACTGGTAAGGTCAGGAAAAGACAAATATACTCTTATTGGCTGGGAAAATCAAAGTACCTTTAGGACACATTTTCTTGAGCTACTGGTAAAGAGACTTTTTTTCAAAACTCTGTGATGCCTAACTGGTAATATGTAAGTTAAAAACATTCTAAGTTTTTGTTAGATGTTACATCATTTTTGTTACATGTAGAGAATAAAGCCAATAGAAGGGGAAACAGAGACAACAGATAGAGATATGAGAGAGAGAGAGAGAGAGAGAGAATTCTGAAGCTAGCCTAATATATTCAGGTTTCACTTTTATCCTATTCTTATTCTAAACAGAATAAGCTGGATTTCATTCATTGCAAGATTTTGACAAATATGACACCTCAAATGTGCTTTGATGATGGAAACAAGACAACTAACTCATCCCTTTTTCTTTTCCTGGTAATTATGAGAAGGTGACATTCTTCTGATATTCCAAATCTTAGAAAAGAAAATAAAAACAAATGGTATGTTTTTAGTTTTGGCCTTTATGGTTGCATTTTGAATCAAGATAATTTCAAAATTTATTTGAAAAAATAAAATGAATTTTAATCATGAGCATGAGTTATATTTGCCATCCAATTCTTCAGGGATTTTCTCATGTTTTTGAATTTTATTAAATTCTGATCAGCCATTATGATTAGTGTTGGGATTAGAAGTTAATAAGTGAAACAGTTAAGTATGGAGAAGAACAGCTGTGCCTTAAAAATAAGTGTAGTTACGCAAATATTGAATTAAATAATGTTTCAAAAAAATTCCTTGAGGATAATGAAATGTAGGAAAGACCCAAGACTTAGAGAGAAGCTTTATATATTGTTTTAGGTATGTATGAGCTATGGACATTTTATTTTAGTGGTGGGATGATGGGCATAAGAAATAAAAGAGGAAAAATAGAGTTGAACAAAGTCCTAGAAAACAAGTAAAGAAGAAGAGGCTTACCGTCATTGTTTTGAAGATCAAAGTTGTCCCTGGTTCTCCTGGATCAGAGACATACTAAAATCGATGGGTGATATAGTGGGGACCTTGGATCATACAAAACTCAGAAGACCAAAATGGATTCGTGGGTTAAGCCAGCATCTATACAAAGGGCAAAACATATATATAAAGTGCTAGGGGGAAAAAAGAGTAAAATCCATCACACACACACACACACACACACACACACAAAGATAATTTTGTTACGCTGTTTTTCTAAGATGTGATTATACCAGGGTCTGGGACCTTAAAATCTGCTGCAATTTGAAATCTTTCTATAAGTGTCAGATAAATTTAGGGAGCCAAGAAATATACCCACATAGGGAGAGCAAAGCGTAAGGATTGGGACAGATATGGATGAACCTTACTTGAGGAAGAGTGAAGGTAGCCTACTTACCACATTGATACACAAAGAAGTAAATCGAATAGTCTTGCTGTAGGGGTCTATTATATCAAAGCAGAAAATGCATTCAGCATAATTTAACACAGGACTTGAAAACATTTTTCTGTACAGAGGCATATAGTAATTATTTTAGTTCTTGCAGGCCATGTGATATATGTCCCAGCTACTCACATCTAACTGTGTTGTGCAAACCCAGTCATGGAATGGGTGTAGCTGTGTTTCAGTGAAGCTGTATTGGCAAAATGTCACTTTAGTCTGTGGACTCTGATAGAATAGATGAAAATATGCATGAGTGGTGTTCTGGGGGTAAAAATAAATGCCCTGAAGGGAGTGTTTGCTGATTTCTGTGGTATAAATTATCACCACCATGGCTAATTTCAAACTACCAATGGTTTGAAAACCAACATGTAAAATTCCCGAAAATCAAACATCAGCAATTGGGAGCCCATACAAGACAACTGAAGGGCTTTACAAAAACATGTTTTACTTACATAGAAGTGAAGGTTCTGTTGTCCCAATCTTTAGTTTTTAAGATCCTGCAATCTTACATTATTTTTCCTCCTTCCATGTTTTCTGTCCCTGCTCGTCAGATCTGCTTCCTGGAGTCACATTCCCTAAAAAACAAAATGAAACAACACAAAACAAACAAACAAACAAAAAAACAAGTATGTGCATCTTTGGCTTGGAATTCCTCAACCTCAGACTTACAAACCATTTATATTTTATATTCTTATTTATTTAAAGGCTTACTTACTTATATTTCCCTCATACGAGTAATAAGATTTTGAACAAGCACCTATATTATAGATTGTCAATGAGTTATTTAAGAAAAGAAGACAGCTAGAAATTAGTTGATGAATTTATATTGTAGACCTATAATGGAAATTACTACATATAACGAGGTATTCACATCAAAGGAAACATAGTACAAAAGAGAATACGTTTAGGAAGATACCCCAGAAAGGGTCGGCTGAAAGGGAACATAATTTTGAAACAAAGAAATGATGAGAAACAAGCTTGCGTTCATTTAGGGATGTATAAAAACTCTGGGTCCAACTACTCATTATTAGACCATTTTCATAATGAACCTGTTCCAAAAAAGTCGAAGTGGATATGCACTTGGTGCTAAATGAGTTTAGAAATAAAACAAAGCTGGAAAAGATTTCTTTTATCCTCTGTCCAATTAGAAAAACCAAGTAGGTCTTTGTTCTTGTAATAGTCTATTTGCTTAAATACATAGACAAGTGGCAGGGGAATCATTTAAATGTTTGCAGGCAGTCAACCGCATTAAAGAATCACAAGAAAACAGGCTGAACTCTGAAGTCAAACTGCCAACTTTATTCTAATTAATAACCCTAAATTGGATAGCTATTAATGGATTGTTAATATTTGAGGGATATAAATGTTGAGGTTGGAGGATGAAATTAGAGGTAAAATAAAACAAAATCATCACCATACATGACATTTTTGGTAAGCCATGTAGAGGTAAACGAAGATTGAACATCTTTTGAGATTTAAAAGATTCTATGATATGATTAGTATGTGACAACCAAAATGTTTTTCTCTCACATTACGTTACAGTCCTACCTTTACATTGGTTTATTTATCCCCCACTAGTCTGTCATAGAATCATTCTGTTATCCATCTAGTCTGAAATTTCCCTCAAGAGTTGCTTATAAATGAAATATATGAGAACGGGGTATATGCTCTACAGAAGATCATTACTTAGTCTTTTAAAAAATGTGAAATCCTGAGCACTTAAGGTAGCAAGATTCAGATCCTGTTCTTTAGAAACTTACAGTCTCTGTCTTCAGTCTCTGTTTCACTTTCATGTGAGGACCCTGCTTCAAACTTCCTGAGATAAGAAAAGCAGATTAAAAATTTGAACTGCAAATAGTAATAATTTCTGCCGTAGTCCATTTGGGCTGATATAAAAAATATCCTAACTGGGCGGTATATGAACAACAAACATTTGCTTCTTAACAGTTGTGGAGCCTGGGAAATCCAAGATCATGGCGCCTGCAGATTTGGTGTCTGGTAAGATACTGCTTTCTCATTGATGGTATTCTTTTCACTGTAACCTCACCTGATGGAAGGGTGAGGGAGCTTTCTCAGCTTCTTTTATCAGGGCACTAATCCCATTCATAAGAGTTCTACTTTCACAACCTTCTAACAAGTCCCCACCTTCTAACAATATCGCTTCAGAGTATGATTCAACATATGAATTTTTTTGAGGGGTGGGGACACAAACATTCAGTCTATAGCAATTTCTAAATGCAGATACTGTATCAGGTCCCCCTTCCTTCTCCCTCCATTGGATACCCTGGCTTATCAGAGTGCCTGGCCGAAAGTGAAAAATTAATAAATATATTTTTAATGAATTTTGAGTAAATAGTTGGGGATTTAATTAACAAGCAATTACACTATACTGAGATAGGAGCTTTAATATATGCCAGGTGTAAAGGAGCCTGGTTAAGATCACGAGAGTATGGGGGCGCCTGGGTGGCGCAGTCGGTTAAGCGTCCGACTTCAGCCAGGTCACGATCTCGTGGTCCGTGGGTTCGAGCCCCGCGTCAGGCTCTGGGCTGATGGCTCAGAGCCTGGAGCCTGTTTCCGATTCTGTGTCTCCCTCTCTCTCTGCCCCTCCCCCGTTCATGCTCTGTCTCTCTCTGTCCCAAAATAAATAAAAGTTGGAAAAAAAAATTAAAAAAAAAAAAGATCACGAGAGTATGAATATGAAACTTAAGATTTCTCCTTATTTTTATGACCCCCTTTCCTGTGCTCTTTCTATTTTTTCCCAACAGAGAAGAAATGCTCAGAGTGATTTGACACAGAATTGGCAAATTGGGATAAAGAAAGTATAAGAGTAGAAAAAAGAGAAAGAACTGAAACAATGAAGTTTCTTTAAAAAATGCAGTATCTAGGGGCACCTGGGTGGCTCATTCGGTTAAGCGGCTGACTTTTTGCTTCAGCCCAGGTCATGATTTCACAATTTGTAGGTTTGAGCCCCAAGTAGGGCTCCATGTCAACAGTGTGGAGCCTGCTTGGGATACTCTCTCTGTCTCTCTTGGCCCCTCTCTTGCTTAAGTGTTCATACTCTTTCTCTCTCAAAATAAATAAATAAAAGTGAAAAAAATGTGGTATCTAATAGCTGAGGAGAAAATCTTTCCTGTCTGTCACAAACTATTTTGGAGTCATTTATTTACCTTATGGGTACAAGCTGTACCCTCATCTTTCTTCCACAGAAAAGAATCCTGGGCAGCTATATTTGTTCTACATGTCCTAGGTCTTTGTCCACAATCAACTGGGCCAAATGGACTCTCTTTCCTGGGAATTTAGAATTAGCATTTAGGAAGAGCTAGTACATCTCTACAACAAACTAAAAATAGGCTATGTATTAACTGCAAACCATGAAGAGCCTTTGACAACTATGTGGACTGACAAGCAGAGAGAGGAGGTCGATAGGAAAAGAATGAAGCAGATGTCCACAGAGAAGCAGAGACGAGTGATAAACAGAGCGCGGACGGCCTAAGTTCTTGGAGGTATTCTGGGTTCTGAGTTTCACGCCTTCCTGAAGCCAAGCTAAAGCCAAATTTTGGTTTTTATTACAAACTTTTATTGCAAAAATGTTGTAGCTTTTGTTTTGTTTTACAAATCATCTCTTTCATGACTTTGCCCAAACATCCCCTTTCCATTCAAACCCAACTTCGTGACTTGGCATTTTAAATAATGCCAATTTTACTCCCTTTCCTGTTTTGAGCTGAGTTGAAAGCTCCTAAAATTTACCTGTTGAAATCATAACCCCTAGTACCTCAGAGTGTGACTGTATTTGGATATAGAATCTTTAAACAAGTTAACTAAGCTAACATGAAGTCATTAGTGTGAGCCCTAATCCAGTATGACTGGTATCCTTTTAAGAGGAGGAAATTTGGACAGATACACACGTAGAGGGAAGACATCGTCAAGATACAGGAAGTAGAGGGCCGACCAGAGAGGCCTGCAAGAGAAACTTTCCTCGTGGCTCTCAGAAGAAACCAATCCTTCATCTCAGACTTCAGCCTCCAGAACTGTGAGGAATAATTTCTGCTGTGTAGGCCACCCAGTCTGTGGTGCTTTGTTAAGGCAGTTCTACCAAACCAATTCATCACCTCAAAAACTGATCTCCTTGACCTTGTACTATCGCATTATTAAATATATTTCTTATGTATTGTCCTTTTCCCATCACTAGAATGTAAATTCCATGAAGGCAGGGAGTTTTCCTTTATTCACTGATGTTTTTCTCAGGTCTTTGAACAATGTCGAACACATACATACATGCATGCATGTATACATATGGATTTTTGTTAGCACATAATCGTCTAGGATAGACACTAAGAACAATGTGAAGAGTGAAGGTCACTATATAACTCTGGATAAATAAACTCAATTTATAATAATCTTAATTATCTTATATGTGAACATAAAATGTTTAGATTCCCTTAAAGTATAGAAAATCCCATTCTATGAAGGGATGGAATATTCAGCTTTTACCTTTTTGTTACTAGAAACATGTTTAGTCTTTGTACTTGGAAGTCTTTGCTGAAGTTCCTTGGAGCCAAGAATTTTGTTTCTTCTACTTTTCTGTGCGGACCTTAGGGAACATTTGTGTTTCTCCTTGTTTTTAGAAATTTCCCTGTGAGTTGTCTATATTGTGACTTGGGAGTGAAATAAATGCGCATATATTTAGATTCTCAACTTTATTTTCAGGATTAATAGTAGGTTGAAAATTCTTGTTAGTTTTGGTAGAAATTTAATTTTTCATGAAAAAATGTAAAGTTGTTTGTGGAAATGAATGACTTCTAAAGAAAATTCAGTTTCATAAAATTACATTATTTCCTAGTCAGCCTCATTAGAGCACTTTTCTCCCTTTTATTCTGTGAATTAACTAGTTAACAGCTAACCGTCCAAGCTTACCTAACCTTTATTTTGGAAACAGTTACAATTTGCATTGCAAGATTAGTTCAAATTTTATTATTCAGCTTATCCTTGACCTCAGTGGTTAAAACTATTAACTAAAGTAATGCTAATTGTGGTGGCGTTTTTTGATTTAGACACTTGTCCACTAGGAATTGGACTGAGACCAATTCATTTCATTCTGGCTACTGAAAAGACATCAAGCTGTAATGATTTTTGGTCACTGTTCAAGAGTTTACGTTAATATAAAGGACACACAGGGTAAAACTCAATCATAAATACCACCCTATACATTTAAGTGGGTGTTTTTGTACTAAACTGGGTGAAATCATGAGGAAACTATAAACATATTTTAATATTTTGCAACTGAATATGAAACATCATTATATATTTTATCCTGATATATTATCATTTTCATCAGATGAAAACGACAGTGTGTGTGAAACCTGTATTAAAAACTAAAAAAGATATTATTTGCTTGATCCAATAAATATTTGATTGCCTAATATTCCTAAGGTACTATAGAAAGAATACATAGAGTCCCAAATGAGCAAGGCATGATGGTGGCCCTCAGGAGATTTATGATTTAGTAAAAGTAATGAGATTTGTAAATAGATAATAAATGCGTATTTAAGATAATTGATAACATTTACTGAATCCT